ATGATGCATGCCTGATCATTTGCTGGTTTTGCGGCTTCAACTTTCGGTTTCACTGAAAAAGAAAGGTAAAGTATTGTAAATTAGAGAATAGAACATATATACCTCCGACGTGAAGTTTAGCAGTTTGTTCAGTATGATCAATTCCATTGTCGATGAGTACACGATATGTACCAACATCAGGATGATCACATTTATTAACAGTTAGAGAAAATACATTTTGTTTTGCTTCAACCTTATGTTTTGGAGAGTTTTTCAGTTCAGTGTCGTTGAAAAACCTTTAGAATAGAAGCGGAACGAATGTAAAATGAAGTTTCATTATTTTCTTCAACTTACCAAGTAACTTTTGGTGCTGGAAAGGCGTCACAGGTAATCTGTAAAGTTCCGTTTTGGCCAAGTAATACATTGGCGTCAGTCAGTGATTGTGTTATGTTCAAGGGCGCTAGAAAAAGGAGATGACGTTATTATGTTGCTGTAGTGTTTAAGTTAAGCAAAGTATCGAATTCAATTTAGATTTATGTTTTTGTACGTTGGCTGCGAGAAGAGAACAAGAATTTTTTGGGAAACTTTTTTGTTAAAGGTTTCTGTTTCACGTAAGAATAAGTGAAATTATTCCAAATTTCTAATGTTTTCGTAGAGTAATTGAAAAACAGTACGAATCAAACGCAGCTGTTTGTAGAAGTCAGTATTTCATTATTTCGTGATCTTCGTTTTATCATTGCAATAAATTTCGAGCAATGCTGTAAATTCCTTTTTATATTACAATAAAGAAATTCATTAATAAGACTTATGTTATTTGTGTTCGATGGAAAATCGTGATTATAAACTAATCAAGCCGACCCATTTAATACGCCTCTCAGCGGATTCCTGACAAGATAATATTGATTTCCTTAAAAAATGATTGAAACATTATATGACTAATTATACAATGGATGGTTTAGGGCAGCTTCCTTCCACTGTACTGTGCTACGACTCTTTCAGTGTTTTCGTGCGTCAACTTAAGTTATATTGATATCAAGGGTCGATTTCTTTGCGGGAACGTATTTTCTATACGTATCTTAAACATGAATAGATGTAATAAGCTGTTGAAATACTTGTCTTACCAATCTACCTTTTCACACTGTTAGTGCTGCTACTTCTCATAGTCGCTATCATCGCGGCTTCTGTGTAACATTTGCTTTTCATAATATAGAATTAATTGTAAACTTGCATTCTTACATAAGATTTTTCAATTACCTAAAACCTCATGCGATTCAAAAAAAAGGGCATCGTTTTAAGGATACCACCAATACAAGGACTGATTATAAACAAAAGCAAAACGAATCATGGGAGTTCATAGACTTCATATTTCTAATAACACAAACAATAGAAGACACCTCTGATGCAACGATTTTAATTAATGAATCCATGTGCAACAATTTAAGAATGAAAACATACTTCCGCTCTAAGCGCTAACAGCATTTTTCCTCTAGCATACCGCATTTTCAACAGCATGCATATCATATGGTTCTAGTAAAAAACATAATTTTACGACATCCTTCTATCTCAAAGAATCGAGACTCAATGACTTACGGTCGAAATAGTATGGTAACCGAAAGAAAAAAAAATCAAATGAACATCTCCTACCGCACCAGCGAGAACAAAATTTATTTTGAAACATTTACGTACCTGTCACGTTCAATGTCACAGCAGATTCTTCAGACGATGTTTTATTTTTCGCAATCAATTTGTATACACCTTGATGTTCCGGTTTCACTTCAGGAACTGAATACACATGTCGTGTACCTTCAACACTTGTGAACTTCACTTCTTTCCCATCTTTCAATAACTGCACTTTAGGCGCTTCCTTTCCACCGACATCAAACGAGATCTCAAATGGTTCACCAACTTTCAAATCCACAACATCGGATGTTGGAGCTGCCTTCGTTAATTTTACTTGTTCCAAGACAGTCAATACACATGGTGTTGATTCCGTTTCTCCAAGATTATTCTTTAATATTACTCGATATGTTCCTTCACTAGTTGTAACAGTTGGTTGTTTCACTAACAGTTGATATTCACTCTTTTCTTCATCAAACGTAACATTTTCTGGTGCTATCGGTGTATCATTAAAAAACCATTGTGCTTCTGGTCGTGGAGAACCACGTACAACAACTCGTAATGTAACATCTTTGCCACTAACTGTTTCTTCTTGTTTTGGTAATTGTGTTGTGATAAGTGGAGCAGCAAGAATATCAAGTCGCGCTGTTTCTTCTTGAGTTCCATGCGGATTTTCAAGACGACATGTTACTGTTCCTGCATGTTGTTGTAAATCAACTTTCGGAATTGATAATTTAGCTTCACCAGTAGCTGCATTCAATTCAACTTGAGCACCTTCTTTTGGTGTTA